GATTGTAGAAGCATTTTGGGATTGTATTATGTTAATTATGTTGTTTGTGTCATTAGAGATGCATTAAATCTTCCCTTATGATACATGTGTCAGTTTTCCTTTCTTCTGTCGATTTGCTTAATATTATGTATATGTCTATTAAATGCAGGTTTTAATATATATGTACACATGTACATAATAAGAAGATATATTATTATGACCATACAAATTTATGGTTGTTTATCCTCCTGGTGCATTGAGAACATTTTCTCATTAGTTGAAAAGCTCTCAGTACATGCAAAGCTCATATGGCTACAATGTACATAGTAGATCAAAAGGGGTGAATGAACTAGGTAGTCACTGCTTAATTAAAACAAGAAAATTGAACTGTAGCAACAGTGGTAGAGATGCAGCTTAGATGCAGTTGAGAAATATTAATAAGGTAAACTACACAGGATTTGGTACATGCCTGACTATACTGTAGAGAGGGAGAGGAAGTCAGTCTTTGAAGATAATCAGGCTTCTAGTTGGAATAATTTGACAAATCTGGGACTTCATTAAGAGGGAACAGGGTGAATCAGATTGTAAGTCTATTTTTGGATATAGTATATTTGAAATTCTGTTTATAAAGAGGTGATGTCGGACATATGTGTGGAGCTAGGCGTGGGTCAGGGACACAAACTTTAAGTTATACATTGAAGTCTTGGCTGCAAAAGAGAAAGGAGATTGTCTAGGGAAAGAGTATGCACAAAAATTTAAAAGGACCTCGAATTAAGCCTTGTAAATCTCCAGCTTGAATGATGAGTAGATGATTATAAAGCAGAAAAGGAGGGAGAGGAAAGTATATGGAGAGATAGGAGAAAAACCAAAAATGTATTATGTCATGTCAGAGTCAAAAGAAAATGAGTAATTCAACAAAAAGGTAACAGTTAATACCTTCAAATAAATAAAATAGGAGTCTTTTTTAGACTCCATAATTATAATCACTATGTATTCACTGTGAATTCTTCCTTTTCCAATTACTGGCGCATGTTTATACTTACTTAAAGTGCTCATCAACAGGCCATTGTTGTCGTGATACATATTATGGCCACCGTCTATATCAGGCATGCTGCACCGTGGCACAGATGGCAGGACAAGATGTCCTGAGATACAGTCCCCTGCATTGGAAGGAGAGGGTCTGCACTCTTCATCTTCAGTGTCACTGGAACTATCCTCACTACTTGAAGATGATGAACTTTTGGAGTCTGATGAACTATCACAACTACTCATCTGATCCATTAGACTAGCTTCTGCCTTCAGTTCTGAAAATGAAACAGAAATTAATAGATAGGATAAATAAATATTAAATCAGTAAACTGAAATTTGAATGTGTTCATTTCATGCCAATATCCCTTGTTGACATAGATGCAGACATTTTAAAAAAGTTTTAATAAATTGAATTTAACCATATATAACAGTGGTTTTCAGCTATGAGGGAATTCATCTCCCAAGAAGACCTCTGGCAATGTCTAGAGACATTTTTCAGTGTCTCAACAGTGGGGGTGAGGGGAAGTAGGGGCTGGTGCTACTGGTATCTAATGTATTGCACCTAAAGATGCTGCTAAACATAGTACAATGTCCCCTGACAAAGGATATCCCAACCACAAATATCCCAAGCCAAAATATTAAGGTTGAAAATGCCAAATATTAAAAGGACAATATCTCATGACCGAGTGGGGGTTTTCTCTGCAATACAATTTTCTAAAAATCAATGCAATCCACTACATTGAAAAAGCAAAAATTAAAGCCATCTCAAAAGAGCAGGGAATATTTCAACAGTCATTCTTGACTAAAATAAAAAACAACTCTCAACAAAAAAGAAATAGAAGGAAAGTAAACCTGATGAAAGACATCAAGGAAAAACCTTCAGCTGCATCATAGTAACTGTAAGAGATTTAATGGTATCCCTCTAGCACCAGGAGCAAGAGGTTTTCCACTCTTCCCACTCAGGTTAGTATTATATTGTAGGTTCTAATCAGTGCAGTAAGTTAAAAAAAGAAAGAAAAGGCATCCAGATTGGAAAGAAAAAGGCAAACTGTCATTATTCACAGATGAGATGATTGCCTATGTAGGAAATCTGATGGTATCTGCAAAAAGGTTACTAAAGTGAGTTGAGCAATATTAAAAGATACAGGGGAAATAAGCAAAGCATAACTGCATTTCTATAGACTTGCAATAGCAATCAAAATTAAAATGATAAGCTAAGCATCTTTAAGAATATCAGTTAAATAATTATAGATAAACCTGAAAAAATATCCAAAGAGCAAGAATACCAAAAATGTAACAGTATCACCAAGTAAAAAGAATAAATGGGTAGAAATACTCTATTAAGGAATCCTAAGAGTCAATATATATACATCCAATTTTCATAATTGGCCTTTCAACACAAATTTAAGCAAAATTTCAACAGACTTCATGAAATTAAGAGGCTAACTCTAAAATTCTTATAAAAACAGAAATCCTAAAATACCCACAGCAGCTTTGTAAGCCAACAAGAGTGGGATGGGAAGAGAGCACAGTGGACTACAGTGGAGGACTGTGTGTTTTGGTGGTAGATAATCTAGGGTCACTACAACTGAACATCTGAAGGGAGAGATCCTGTATTTCCAAAATACTAACAAGCAGGTAAACTAAT